CTTTAGGGTTTGGCATCTCCTCCATCGCAGACAGACAGAACTTTTATCCCTTTCGTTTGATGAGCTACTCGAATTTCCCACAAGTATCTGACAAATGAATCATTTCAACACTCATCTTGACCAGCCCTGATTGATGCGAGATCGGATCAGTGTCGCTGGACTGCTTGTAAATGCAGAAAGTATCCTTCGTATGCATTAGTTGGGTTCACCCCATTTTATTTTCCGGTGATGAAGGACTACTGGCTGATTTTTTCCACAACGCTGTGAGTAGAGCTGATCCATCTCATCTGAACTCTGTCCCGCTGTCATGTTTTCTCTACATTTTGATCGCTTCTTTTGATCGTGACCTCCCTTGTCGCCTTGAGCGAATACACTTCGTGTACACATTATCTACTTATAAAGGAAAATAAGTAGTATTGTCGATTGCTGTAGCGAATGCCGAGGGGATATGGGAAAATGCCTGGCGCTTGTTGAAATTCACATTCAGCTTATACGCCACATTACATAGATCCGGGTTCGAGTCTCGCTGAGGGTGCTGAAATGACCAATTCGGTTGAGGTATAAAATGAAGTTGACTTCACTCTGGATGAGAATAGCTTTTGGAAAAGCATGGCTGTGTGAAATTTAGTCGAAACGAAAGGTCTATTCATAGTGTTGTGTGAAAATTCAACAACCAGTCACCTTATCACCTGAAACGAAATGGAGTTAATATGATCTGGTGGTAGTCTTGAGAACCTGGTCATAAACTAAAAATCACATTTAGAAATGCTTTTCATTCATAAAATATGCAATAAACAAAAATAATCTATTCTTATAATAATTTGGCATTGTCCGTTCGCATGATTAGTGACTGAAACTAGAGTAATATTCAAATTCCTAGTGCTTATGGTTACCATTTTGGTATCCTTCCGGACTTTGTGGGCTTTAACGTTGTTTTTTAACTATCTTCTCAAGTCTATCGTGTGTGTCAGCATAAAAGCGGCATCATCCTACAAACGGTTTAGCGTTTTTTAACTTCTCTATACTTAAGTCTCCTCCCCAAAAAGAGTAGAAACTGAGACTTTCGTGGTTGCTAAGACGGCAGAATATACACCTCTTGACGCTAATGAATTGCTTAAAACACTTCAAAGCCGAAGCTTGACATAAAATGTTGACTACCTCGAGACTTCGTGGCCGTTTCCACCGAGACTGCGACAAGTCGACGGTCCTTGCCGCCACGCGCAAACGCCATGAGCTCGAGTCCCGACAAAGGCGGGACTTCAGCCAGACCTTGCATGTCCCGTTGAAGCGATGTGAGTGTGCGGGAGGCGGCCAAACGGTGAGACAAACCTTGGGCAACCTTAAATCTGTTGAACTTCAGATTTCCAAGCCCCAGTATCGCAGGCCCAACTCGGTTGAAGAAAACCTTGCAAAGGGTTCGGCTAATTGAGTGTACCACGAATTGGTGAGAGACTGAGCAAGGTAGAATGGGAGCTATTCAAGCGAGGAGAAGAGCAAAAGTAGTGAGGAAAGGGGCCCCAAGAATCTTCTGATTTCTACTTGTTGAGCTCATTTTCATTTCGATTGAAAGCACGCTTGACGAAGAGCTTCGAACGTGAAACCCACCAGAATACGACGGAAATTTCCTTCTGACCGGGCGTCGATTCACTCGACTGGAACATTCTAGCTGATATTGTTTTGCAAAGCAATCACCTTCGGTTCTCGTCATCCTCAGACTGACATCATCAGAGCAGATTGGTACAAGCATATTGAAGCTGTAGATGCGTGGAATAACTGGATTTCAATAAGTCGAGGATCGACCTCCGAACATTTTCATTATGTATTTTTATATAAAATGAAAGTTCCCTCAAAATATTCCGGCTAAAGTGTCAAGAAAACCCGCCGTGACAACAAATCCATTTAGTGGAATAGGAAGAATAGGTGAGTT